GGGGGGGGGGGATCGTTACTGCGCGAGTATGAGGCGCTCTCCTCCCAACGGTCAGCAGGTGTGCGGCTTCATTCAGCCAATCCCAGAGCCACCCCCTCCCCGATCACAATGTCCCGTTTTTTTAGGTCCAGCCCAGGGCAACTGATGCACGAATGAGGAAGATGAAAAAAGTGACCGTGCTCCCAATTCTTGCAATTCTGACTCCTAATCGACAGTTGCAGATGCCTAACGCCTCTATAAAGGGTAGTATTTCTCCCCAGGAGGCTCCCTTCACGTCCCCCTCACCTTTCACTGCCAGCTGAAAAACCCTTCGTCAAAATGATGCCCTTTGTGCGTTTTCCCATCCAGCACCTTGATATACACAGTGGTACTCGAACCTGCAAGCCGGTGACACAGAACACCCAAGGTGCTGATCCTGGCTTCCCGCAGAGCATCAAGCACAGTGCTGGATCACACTGACACAAACTGAGGGCTAATAAGCCTCAGCCGGGACACCTGGTGCACCCAAGGGTGTTTGATGTTGAAAGAGAAGGAAATGTGTGGTCTGGCAGCAGCTCACTGTCTGAGCAGAAGGCATTACAGGGGGTGGTCAGATCAGCCCAGTCCATCACTGGAGTAAAGCTGCCCTCTATTTTAGACATTTTTACTACTCGCTGCCTCAGGATCACCTGGTTCCCCTGCACTGATTCACAGATTCTGAACAGGTGCCACTTGAGGACCTGATCAGTGGAGCTCGCCAACTGGATCTGCCGACTTTGGTTCTGCGCCACCTTCTAGAAATCACCGGCGGCCTAAGCCGACAGCGGCGATTTCACTCCTTTGGGTGCTTCTCAATTTTCTGTGGAGAAATTCAGGACGCACGGAGCAGTGCAGCGAGTAACTCATCCGCTCACTGGAGCTGCTCACTGTGGCCACCCCTGTAGGCTCCCCGGAGTCGCAGCTCAGCTGCCTTTCAAGCATTTAACAGGCGCTCCATGCATCCTCCTCGCAAATGGGTTTATGGTAATTATCCGCTCTTACGCTGGAAACGTTGGGGAAAAATGTCCGCTGCTGGGAATTCCCTAACAGGTTCTTGACTTCGCAATTATCACTTCTGAAAGCAAGAGGAAAGTGTCTTTCCGCATGGATGCTAATCACAAAAAAAGAACACTTTCTGTATGAAATGAGACCTGGCACCACCTACATACTCCAGCAATTTAATTTGTCTGGTCTAACTTCTTACTCCTCTCCCTGTCTTCATGAACTGTAATTCGTCGGCCCAACGTCCAGTAGCCGTAGAGATTAATACTGGTCAAGCCCCCTTCCTTGGGTCTCAGAAGTGCCTTGGTGTTAATACAATTATTAAATTGCAAAGAATATCAGAAAAAATACAACTCTCTGTCCTTAACATCCTCCTATAACAATAGGTCAAGTCTATGATGCCCTACACTGTTCTAATAAACAGTGAAACACAAATCAGAGGACGAATGGGGAAACTCAGAGCAGGAAGTACTTTTTCCACACAAACTACGGTGTTAAAGCTGATAGCCTGCAATAGATCCCTGGATCGATTAGCTGTTAGAAACCAAATGAGCTCGATGTCCTCCTCTGCAATCTTTATGTGCTCATGCTACTGAAGAATTATGCATAAGGGCGCGATTCTTTAAAAGAGCAGCAATATGCAGACTTTGTAAAACGAGTACTAGAGGCCTTCAAAGTTTATCATAAGTGTAATAATGTAAAGAAAAACATTTATAAAAAGGTTCCTAAAAAATTAATTGCTCAAGCATTAGCGTTCACAAGAACACTTGATGAAAAAGTTATCTGTCTGAACAAAGGAGTGAGACAGGGTGCTCTGTCTTTTTCAACATACTGCACGCATAAATCTGAAGGAATGATTTCTGAAAGCAAAGCTCAGGGAGCTGTGGCAAAGTCTGCCGCAGCCCCATGGCATCCAACTCCCAATACAGCAGCAATTTCTCCTTAACGACTTTAATTAACTCAAAAAAGAAAGGAAGTCTACTGTGATTCTGTTCACATAGAAAAAAAATGCTTACTGCCTCAGAAGGATGTTCCCTGACGAATTCCCACCAAACCAGAGAATGAATGCGAGCAACAGCAGCCACAACTGTTATAGCAGTAGGAATGCTCAAAATTATAGCTGAGAGATTTCTCTATTTATATAACAGTTATTTGGAATCTTTTGCACACTGGATTCTGAGAGGATGCTGGATGCTGTAGTGAGGCTCTCTGGAAAAATAGAAGAGCATTTTAAAAAGCTCTAAACAAATAAATTAATTTCGATTATTTGTGTCAGTGGTCTGTATTCCCATCTTGTTCTCTGGACAAGCTCCACGATGATTACCTTGCAATCCACTGCGGAAGCACACAAAACTGCATCACCTGCCAAGCGGCTCAATGGATGGGCTTTCCTGAAAGCAGACCACAGAGCGCAGATGCCTTGTGCACACATCTCGCCCTCCAAACACGGCCAAAGGCTGATGAATCGGACTCATCTCTGGGCAGATGTGTAGGGAGAACATGATCCTTCAGCCTCAAACCTACCCGCATGCAAATTCTCCTTCCCACCACCTGCAGATGAGCTCTGCCATACCTGGGCACAATCAATGCTTTTCTCCTCCTGTGGGCTGTGGAGCCTGTGTGTGCTCATGGGATTCAGAACAACAAACCCTATTCCAAACTGGGTAGGTACAGTATAATAAAAACAAACGGCGATTCTAAATTAAAAAATATATATAATGGCAGCAACAGCATGACGCACAGACACGAAGGTGACATTCAAATTTAGAAATATGTCTACTGTGTACTTCAGTAACTTAATAAAGTGTTTGACTGGGCCCTTAGATATAGTGGCTCGCAAAACAAAATGCTGCCCAAGCCAGACGTTATTGTTCTACAAACCATCAAATCCCTAAGAAACAGTGTAAGGTGTTTACAAGCAATTTAAGACCATGAATCAAAAACACAGACAAAGATTCTATGACAACTAGTCCAACGAATCTGCTACATCTGCAGTGAGGAAAAACCTCAAAACAAATTACAGTGTTTTCTCATGTGGCATATGGCCCTGCCAGTTTCAAACAGTATAATATCATCTGGAAAATAACTCAAGATGAAGGGGGTATAGATTTTCTAAATACAGTTTTAAATAGACAACTACACAAATACACCTTTGATACCTTCATTAACAGATAACTAATTATCTATTGAAGACATTATTTTACCCATGAAAGTAGAAATGTTATATCTATCTAAGATGTAATGAATAAATTATAATATTCAAAGAGTTTTCATGGAACGTTTTTTCAGAAGTTTTATTCTTTTTTTTTTTTAAAGTCACTAAGTATCCTGTTTTAGGCTTAAACTGAGCCAGATCAAAATGCTATTGGAATAGATAAATTCTGGAATTCCCCCTAACGCCGTTGCTCGGCAAACAAAGAAGCAGAGATTAAACCAGACTGTCAAGCCACCCAACCAACATAAACTCCTTTCAATGACAGCTTTCACAGACTTGCCCCAATGGAAAGCTGCCGCCAAGTGGTGGCTGGAGGTTTAGCAAAACTACCACCGTCCTCATACACGGGACAGACCAGAGACGGTCTGAGGATCGGTGTAAAATCATTTTAAATGGACACAAAGCTGACAACCGGAACAAGACTCCAAATAATATATACTTTTCTACTTCATTAAGCTTCAATAAATACCGGTTAATGACCCCGTTTGCACTTACATTTTATGCAAAGTCTGGCATTAATCCACTGGCAGCACTCATTTTAAATGGCCAATTATTAATCAAAGCCGGGGCGAAAGAGCACTCTCGGTTACTCACGAAGACGAGTCACAGGCGCGAGGGAGTCTCAGCACAGCCCCCTCCTCCACAAGAGACTGCCCCTCCCTTTCCTAGACACTGTGAATCTCTTTAAACAGAGGAGCCCCACAAAACTGTCAGATGTCTTGGGGGGGAAAAGGATTCAACGGACTTTGGGATTCACAGATCAGTAAATTGTGGGAATTCGGGGGAAACTGCTTCTTCGACATTGCCACAGGCGATAACGAGGCAACACTGTCTGAGGGGGGCAGTCCAACAGCTTTGCCCTGCTGAGCGCAAGAGAATATCATCCTGAAGGATCGGATCCCAGAGGGCTCCACATATAGGACTGGCCACTTCCACCACCTGCGAAGTGCAGGTCTCGCCTGGGAAACACCTGGCTGCCTTCCTGTACCTGCGACCCCACTGCAGAGCAGGTCACATGGGCCAGTGAGACGTGAGAAACTAACTAACTGGAAACAAGGGGTTTTAGGAGGGTTGTAGCGCGCCCCATACTATGGCATTTGTTTGTTAATAACGGTCCACAGAGAAGGCACCCGCTCATGGTACACCAAGCACTGAAAGAGGCATTTATCTCTTTGGGTTGCTAATAGCCTAAGAAAGACTGGTGCCCCCTCCAAGATGGTCGCTGTCTAGCGCCCCCTGCTGGCCAGGATAGGCTCCGGCGACCCCGCGACCCCGTACTGGATAGACTGGTTAGAAAATTCACGGGTGTGTTGCCAGTAGCTAACTGAACCGGAGATCTCTTCCAACTGTTCCTCGAAGCAAGGCAGTATCTTCGCAGCCGAAATAGGTACGGTCCTATGGTTATGGCAACCTTCCGGTTCTCAGTTTTAAACGCACTTCCGCCTAACTTTCACTCGTGGCTTCAGGAGAGCTCCACGGCTTGAGTGCGTCCGCGCCTATGAGGATTTGGAATACCTGAATCCAATGCCCTTTCCTGTTGATGACCAGAAAAGTTTCACGTTTTTTTGCCTTCCACACTAGGGCATTTTAAACCAGGGAGTGTACGAGAAAAAAATCGCTGCTGGACAGGACAGCATGTTCACACGTACCGTTGATAAAACTAAAAAGGTACTTGACTCCAACTGTATTCATTAAGACATATTCCCATAACATGACAGTCGTGGAAGCAAAACCAAGCTGAACGCGAGAACAAAAACAAACCTTCTCATCAGATACTACAATCCATCGTCATATGTTCTCAGTGAAATGCTCACATTAGCCTTTACTAATGAAACAAGGCTCAGAAAAAAAAAACTCTCTCCCCTTTTGGTACAGAAAACAAAACCAGCTCCTTTCAGAGTTGAGAACTTCGTTTGCTACTGTTTATTCGTAGTCCCGACAAGCACATTGCTGAACAGAAAATGAAGTAAGATTACAGCACATCGTTTTACCTTGTGTAAAGCCCGCATATGTGCGGTTTTTCGCTCTGAGAAAAATGTCCTGGTCCGTAGCCATGCTGTCTGTGTATTATCATACACCAATTCGCCGTCCCTTGTTAACACCTGTGATAGTTATTCTGTCGTAGAAGGTCTTCAACTTCCTCATAGATCTACGATTGATTACATCGGTTATATATTGTTTCTGCCTGCGGAGGCGCAGTCTGTGTAGCCGAACTGGAGCACAGAAGCAGGCGACGCGGTTTTGGGTTTGATTGGAGCAGATAAGGCGTGGAGCCTGTCTTTAATGATGCCATGTAAAACCTTTCGAATTTTTGGTACAGTTTGGTTCTGCACTACATTACGTTTCGCACAGCAGTAACACGAAGAGAGAAAGGTGGAGGGTGATCCATTAGCGTTTTAGCCCCCCTTTTAACGACACTTTAAGTTGCATGAAACAGCAGGTTTTCTTGTTTTTTCCATTTCTGATCTAACAGATAGCAGCTGCTGTGGTTGATGCTTTGCATGAAAACAGCCCAAGAGCATTTGCTGTTTGAGCTTAACTGGGCTGTTCGTTTTGCGTTTTAGAACCACGTCTTGAGAACGCAACGACATTAAAAATGCAAAGTAAGAAGCTTGTTTCGGGACACTTACTGTACAGTACCACTCTCCTAAACACCCGGCTATTACGAGGCATTTGGGAACTGCAATAAAACGTGCCCTACCAGTAAACTGGCCCAGGGTAGACGATTCGCAAGCGTGGATAATGTATTTCCCCACATAATGTCATCCACTCAAACGGAGTTTAGAAACCTCATTTAACAGCAAAGAAGAGAAATCTAAGAGCAAAGAAACATCCCGTTTGACGTTGCTGCATAATGTAATAGACCCGAAACCGATTCTGATTTACCCTTTAAAATGTAAAGGGAATCTCTTTTATTTCATGTGGGATTAAGACATTTCAAATACAAAAATCTCCATGTGTGAACACATTTAATTATTAATTTCCAAGTTTTTTTTTTAATTTGTCCGTTAAATTTGTTAATTCCCCCAGCCTGATCTACATTTACAATAAGAATACATTTTGAATGCAGTACAGTATTTGCTTTCTGTAGGCACAGCATACGCAATGACACCTCTAAAACAGAGCATTAAAAAGTGATGTGCAGTTCCACATATCAAGAGAAAAATCTCTGTGAACTACTGTACTCACAAAAATAAGAAGTAGGATTCTCAACCGCTGAGTGTGAATGAAATTTAAAAAAAAATCCTTCTGTCACTTTAAAGGCTTATTGATTCCCTGTTGACACCAGGATCTTTGTGTGTTTCTACTGGAAGAAGCCTGTTGAACTTTTTAAGTGATTTTGCAGTCCTCTGCCGTCCACTCCAATAGACCATAAACTGCCATCAAGAGATGGAGCTTTGCATACTGACTTAAGAGAGACTTCATCAGCCCTTAAGCGAATGGTCTCTGAATGCTCTTAATAATTAACCAATAATAATATAATAATAAACCATAGTTTATTATATAAAAAATAATTATTCAGACGAAAATAGCTCATGCTTAGCTTTTTTGGCAGCAGCGTTATCACCATCTAGCTTGTCCTTCCTGTCGGGAATCCTGAGCCTGAACACTACTGGAAGGGAGAGCACTCAGGAAAACCAGGTTGCCTTTCTACCTCTAGAACCGGAATGTCCTCACCAGTGCTCCAGGGTAGGGGGTAGGAGGTGCAATCAAACTGAGGTTCTGATTACTTGACTATTATGCATTCTATGGTGCTGTCTATTATAAACTCCAGTGTCCTGGCTAAATTTCTCTCTGGACTCACAGACTTTAACTTCCCTAGTCGCCACTTAATCCAGTCTTGTGAAGTGTTCACTCGTGCACCTGATAGAGGTGAACTGGGTCCTCTTCTGTATGTAAACTGGGTTCCTTAGCATAAAAAGCAGTATAAAAATGCAAGGAATTACTATTACTGCTACTATTGTAATGCTGATGACGGCTACTGATAGCACAGCACGTGAGGGGCATTGTTACCATGCGGTGTGAAGTATTCAGGGACAAGAGAGGCGTTGGCTGTTTCAGGACACCACAATATCATATAATTAGCGGACGTGAAGTAAATGCCAAAGTAAAATCCAAAAATACTTCACAGTACATGTACAGTAAATGTGATCATGAACATTAAAATGCTGACATAAGGGGATCTATTTATGAAAGCACAAATACAGTACGCCACCTGTTCCCACCGAGGTGTTTGCGCCATGACTAACTTTGTCAGATTTGAAAGTTTGCTGACACATTTGACTTGCCTGTGGAGAAACACAGCCTCTCTCTCTCTGATGCGCTTACTTTCTCGCTCAAGTCATTTTCCAACCCACCCACTCCCCTATCTGTCTGCCGTCGGACTGCTGCCTGGATTGACACAGACCTGGACGAGAAGTTCATTAAGCCGAAGCTGGGGCTGTGCCCCTGGAGTCACCTGTTCTGTGGGTTCTGTGTAAATCATGGGATACGCATGATGCCGATGATAATGATAATACATGAATAAATACTACTACTACTACGTCTACTACTACTACTATTGATAATAATAATAAATTAACAATAATAAATGAAAACACAGTGGTTATACAGAGAGAATGTTGAGGGCTTACAATGTGTTGTTTGGCTGTATGCAGGCTTTCACTCAAGTAGTATTGCACTGACAGCAGTTTGTTAAAAACAGGAAGACGTTAAAAATTCATGCGCACACATTGAGTTATTAGTGAATTATTGAAACATGCAGGCTCTATTGCCAATTACCACATTGAAAAAATATTTACTACGAATTGGACCCAAAAAACGCCGAATTCTCATCTCGGCTGCCTCAGTTATTCTCAGCCGCGTGGACAAGCTAAAGTAAGAACCAGTTCAAAGAGCAATGAAGCCGGTGGAGGAAAGCAAAAGAATTGTGAAAGAAGAAAAGGTAACAATGCAAAAAAGGAGCTCAAGGCAGGCGGCTTTCTTTTGTTATTTTGGTTTATCTGGAAAATAAATGTGGAAAGTACATCATAATAACTCTTTTGCTCTTTATCCCAGACTAACTCAACATAATTCCCTCTTCAAGGGTGTTGGCCAAAGTCAATAAGTAGGCCAACTACCAGTTTGCTGAGGGCACACCTGCAATCAAACACAGATTAACTGGGTCACAGATGAGTGATGTCACATTCCTGGCCCTCACTGTATCCACCTAATGTCGTCCATATGGGCTGAGGGCGAAGAAGCACAGGAAACTTTGCTTTTGACCTGCGTTTACATAGAGAAGGAAAGATTGCATCTCTTCGGCTCTTGTTAAACAAAAGTAACACTGACAATTTATCTGAAAGTAAGTGGTTATTACACAAATCTGTAGTGACTTAAGTAAAATTTGAATATTAAAAATGCTATGAATGTACCACAAATCTTTCTGTGCTCAAGTGCTGCTTTTACCAGAATGGCATTAGGTCTGTTTTAGGTCTGTTGTTTGTTTTAAGTGAAAAAAACTAAAAAGTCAGTCCAGTGTTGTGTCAATTTGGCTTACAATGTGTGGAAAAGCAGGAATTAAAAATGAAGGTGGGTGAGTAAGTAGGTAAATATTTGCTTATATGTCTTTAAAAACACAGATTAATTATCACATTTTTATAGGTTTTTTTCAGACTCTGCGAAACACTGTTTTCTAATGCTATTTAGCAAAACAAACGCAGTGCCCAGAAGCCAGTCCTCATGAAAGAATCTCAACCACTTCATGCAAATCTAAAGGCATGAAACGGCTGAGCCTCGAAAAGTGACAGGATGTCAGCGCAGAGAACAAGGACCAGGCAGTGAACTTTTGCTTTATTATAAATTTTAATGGAATTTGTCAGCTCCGTTGAAGTTGATATCAGGTGCCTGGCTTGCACAATGAGATCTGTCACACCTCTGTGATTGGGTGGAGGGAGGGGAGCAGCACTGCTCTCACAGGACCATAACGTTTGGTTTTTTAAGCGGAACTGCAGTGCTCAGAGCCCCTAACCTTATGAAACGGAATATCTAATTACATGATCCGGCAATAGGAGCACTATTGGATGCAATGTAGGGACCTTCCTAAATCACAATAAATACGGTGTTTTCTTAACATGCAAAAATAAAACATAATTTTATTTTTAATTACTTTATTAAATGTCCTTCAAGGTAAATCAAGTGCTGGACAGAGAAACTAATATACCGATTATGATAAAATCAAGTTAAAAATACAGTGGATGAAAAAAACAAAACAAAATGAAGTACCATTTTTGGAACAAGTACATTTTAGGAATTAAGTAGAGGAACCGGAATCCTGAGTTTCTTTTGCAAGAAGCAGTTCAGAGGCAGCAGTGAAACCATGCGGAGCTCCAGAATCAACAGACTGAAGATTGCAACTATAAATGTAATCAATTTGAAGGGCTGGCAAATAATGTGGAGCATGACCAATCAAAACTATAAAAGTCAATAACAGAATTCTAAAATCAGTACAAATTCCACATGAAGCCTGTTCCAAAAGTAAGAGTAATATGATAACTTGAACTAAACCTGGTCAATATTCTAGCTGCTGAGCTTTGGACATAATGCAATTTTGTAACAGGTGTTCTTAGACACCCTTCCAAGCAGGGCATTACAGAAGTCAAGACAGAAGACAGGGTTTAAATGGGACAAATTAACTGAGACTTCAGTTTAAATGCAGATCTGGTAAATGCCTCTACGCATACTTCCAGGGAATGTGTGTCTGTGAGTACCTTGGTGTTTATTTGCTCAGCTCTTCTTGGACAGGCAATTGCAAAGATGTTATTTAGTCGGTGCAAACATGTTGACAATGCAGCAATAGGAAATCACACCAGGCTAAAAAGAGAACTTTCCTTGCTCCAAAGTGATACAGAGTACAGTCGCATAAATATAAAAATAGAAAGGTTGTTATTATTGTACAGCGAAGCTTGTTCAAAGTGAAGGAAGCTTTTTTTCAGCTCCATTTAAGATACACTTGTGAGCTATTGCAGACATCACTTTACAAAGAGCGTTTATGTTCAGCAAATGAATCAAAAGTGCATAAAATATGAATGCGGGTCAGTCTGAGAGCAGAAGCAAGCCTGTCAATTTGAAATGCTGTTATGAAAACCTGGAACAATTGCATGTCATGTCTGTGCCTGCACTCAGCTCCACCGAAACAGAGGAAGAGAGGCAGAGCTGAGCATTAGATTGCAGAGCACTCCTGGTGTGTGT